AGGGTTAAAATGTTGTGGGGTTGTTAACCAATGTCATAAAACAGCATGTGTGTTACTGTTACATGAGAAACTATCTGTTCTGTAAGCCTTCACCTGAAGAACAATAAAATATTAAAAAAAAAAAAATCTAGGCTCTAATGTCCACAAAGTTAAAGTACTCTATGACAAACATTAGAATCAAAATATCCCACCTGAACAGAAAGAGTTTCTACACATGAAAATGGTTACAAAATTACAAAAAGAAAAAATTACAAAAAAAAAAAAAAACTGTGAAAAGCTTATATATTTCTATGTAAAAAGCCATCCTAATTCCATTGACATGAAATGTTCAGAAAAGGCAAATCTATAGACAGAAAGTAGACTGTTGCCTGAGGAGTGAAGATTAACTGTGAACAGGCACAAGGGAACTCACTAGGGTGATGGAAATATTCTAAAACTGCATTACGGTGATGGCTGCACAACTTGCTAAAAAGCATTTACTAAAAATCACTGAATTTAAAACAGTGAACCTATGGTATGCAAATTATACTTCAATACTGTTCTTTTAAAAATCAAAAACAACAGCATAAAACAATTCAGGAAGAAATATTAGTCCCTCATATTAACATACAAATCATTTGTAACACAAATCAATGCTGATGGGGCACTTACAAATCAACAACCAAAAAACGGGCAAAGCGTATGCTTAGTTGGTTCATAAAATATAAGAGCCAAGTAATTTATGAAAAAATGTTCGGCCTCACTGGTAATGAAGCAAACTGAAGTGATTTAGTGCTTAGCTTATCAAAACCAGTCAAGGTAAAATAATACAGAAATATTTATTTGGTGAATCAATGTGTGAAGGAACTGACTCCCTCATGCATTTCAGCGGGTGTGTAAACTAATTCAACCCCTTCTGGAGGACATCCGCAATATGTATCACGAACATGAAAAGGGCTTACCCCCTGACACCACCACTCCACCTGTGAAAATGTATTCTACAGAGGTATTCTGCAATGTTACTACACTCTGGAACATATCTTAAGGAAATAATCTTTGATATATTGCAAAATCTTCGGTAATAGCAAAAACTTGGAAGTACCCTTCGGATATTGGATAGTAGTTAAATTATGGTACATCTGAATGAAGGCTGCAGAAGTCAGCTGACTGACATGGAAAGAAGCCCCTGATCCTAGTGGGACAAGTTACCCATGCAGTAATTTCTAAGCATATGATCAAACTGTACTTATTGTTTTTATAAGCAGGATTTCCCCTTCTTCATGTATCTTTTCATGTCAGTTAGTAGCCTTCTATAGTACAGTTAATGTAGTCTCTATAAACAGCAAAAAAAAAAAAAAACAGTTCCATAACTACAGGCACACTAAATTTTATTTTTTTACAGATAGAAAATAAGCATTCTGCATTTCCAAAATGTTTTATTAAGGAGTATTCTTGCAGTGAGATAAATTATGTCTAGATACATTTCTTTACCTTCTGAGTAAACATTTTAAGAAGAAGGGGACCATAAAACTTTCATACCTGCCAGCACACACTTTATAGCTTGCATTGGAAGTTCCAACAACTTTGGAATTATGGGACAAAGTCTTGTCAAACTAAGGATTTCAAAGTTTCCATAATCTACATATCCAACCAATACAGAGTCTTCAGAAGCATAAGCCAAAACGGAGGCACGGTACCACTGATCATCCTCTGGAAAAAGGAAGACTCAATCTCAAATGCTTTTTCAACGTAAATATAAACAAAAACTCTTCCTCCTCAAATCAGGGATGGTCATTTATAGATTTTATTTTAATACAATACCACGCTTTACTGAACAACATATGCTTACTTGACACTGCTGTTTTTGTTCACCAGAAGCCTTCAACTCTTAAAATGTAATTTTTATTCATACCTTACTATTATACTACTTATATCATATGCTGTCATTATTTATTTACATGTCTTGGCTCCCTTTTAGACAGTTAGCTCATTAGGATAGAGATCATGTCCTGGTCATGTGAATCCCCAAGGTCTTGATCAATAAATGAGCCATTTGCTAAAGCATCAAGCAGGGCTAATTTAAAATACCTGGCAGTATGAATCAATCAGACTCCATCAACCAAGCAAGCAATTTACTGGAGGCTTACTTGTAGCTTGTTATCTCCCCTTCTGAGCGTACACTGGACCTCCTTCAGCAAAGACTAACAGAATCCAGTACTCATAAGATAAGACCTGATCAAATACAGAGGCTGCGCCACGACAGCTCTGTGCTTCCAGACCCTCTTGTTGTTCCAAAGAAACCAGATAAAAACATGAGACTAGGAGGTTCCACATCTACATATTTATATAAACAAGATTATCTGAGTCAGTCTCCAAAAAATAAAAAAAACCTAACCCACCCATTGCGGTGAAGTTGATTCTGACTCAGCGATCCTATAGGACAGAATAGAACTGCCCCATAGGGCTTCCAAGGAGTAGCTGGTGGATTCGAACTGCTGACCTTCTGGTTAGCAGCCAAGCTCTTAACCACTGTGCCACCAGGGCTCCCAAAAAAACTAAAGGATTTATGAAATTTTTAAAAACAAACTCCCTTTAATACCCCTCTGACACTCACAGACCCTCTGGCCTTACACACATCACCTTATTCCTTTGAACCAGTTTAGCTAGGCTTGTTTCAAAACATAATTGGTGCACTTTAATACTCAGGCTTCAAATGTAACCATTCAGTGTAAACTGAGACTGTTTCAGTTGTTTTTACTAAATTCTCAGTAATAAATTAAATATAAGAATAACAGATGATAAATGCAGAGATTTCTATACATCTAATTTTCAGCTGGGTAATGAACAAGTGACCCAATAACGCTCTTTCCTTACCTGAGAACTGAGCACAACAGATATCGCCAATGGTTGGAAAAAAATCAGAGCGTGGAGACAATCGACCACAGTATTCACTAAGCGACGTCTGAAGTTCAGCAAGCTTATCTGTAGATATAGATCACATCTTAAACAGAATAAATACATATTGATATATCATCTTTAATTTTGCATGCTGACTCTCTTGAAGTATGTTATCTTGACTGAACAAATCAAGAAAATTTACTTACGGCCACTTTGTAGTTGTTGACAAAAGAAGTCTTCTGGAGTTTGAATGTGGGCAACCACACCACAAAACTCGTCCCCTACATTCAAAGTTAACACTTTTGGGATCAAGTCACTTCTGTCTACAACAATTTTGTCTTCAGTTGTCATTTTTCCAGCATCTTCAGAATGATCTTCTTAGAAAACAGAAAAATAAAAGTCATCTTGGTTTCATGAAAGTCAAAAATAAGTAAGTAAATCATGCATACTGTAATCATTTGGAAAAGAGAATATGACCAGGCAAGATTCCCAGCAGAGAGTCTATGGTGTTTCCTCCCACAAATAGTAAAGGTCTATAATAAAGGCAGACTTCTTTATCACCAAAAGCTAGACTAGTCCCAAGAAAGAAAACCAGTGACATAAAAAATAAATTCAGATCTAATTAAAAAGTTAACCATGCAGCTGTCAGTTTGTTGTACTGTGGTGGCTTACGTGTTGCTGTGATGTTGGAAGCTATGCCACCAGTATTTCAAATACCAGCAGGATCACCCTACTGGCAGTCTACTTTTGAAAACACTGGTCAGTGAAAATCTTATGAATAGCTGCAGAACATTGATCCAAAGTGCTGGAAGATGAGCCTCTCAGGTTGGAAAGCACTCAAAATACAATTGAGGAAGAGCTACCTCCTCAAAGTAGAGTTGACCTTCATTGGCTGATGTTGCATGACACTAAATGAGAAGAAACAGCTGCAAACATCAATTAGTAATTGGAACGTGAAATGTACGAAGTATGAATCTAGGAAAAATGGAAGCGGTCAACAATGAAACGGAACATATAGAGATCGATATACTAGGCATTAGTTAGCTGAAATGGACTGGTATTGGCCATTCTGAATCAGACAAACATATGGTTTACTATGCCAGGAATGACAACTTGAAGAGGAAGGGCATTGCATTCACTGTCAAAAAAAAAATTTCAAAATCTATCCTGAAGTACAACACTGTCACTGATAGGATAATAACCATACTCCTACAAGGAAACAAGTTAATATGACTATTATTCAAATTTACACACCAACCATTAATGGCAAATGAGGAAACTGAAAGATTTATACCAACTTCTGCAGTATGAAATTGATCAAACATGCAACCAAGATACACTGATAATTACTGGTGACTGGAATGCAAAAGTTGGAAACGAAGAAGGATCAACAGTTTGAAAATACAGCCTTGGTGACAGAACAATGCCAGAGATGGCATGACAGAATTCTGCAAGGTCAACAACTTATTCATTGCAAATACCTTTTTTCAATAACACAAACGGCGACTATACACATGGACCTCACCGGATGGAATACACTGGAATCAAATCGACTACATCTGTGAAAAGAGACAATGGAGAAGCTCGATATCATCAGTCAGAACAACACCAGGGGCCAACTGCGGAACAGACCATCAATCACTCATATGCAAATTTAAGTTGAAGCTGATGAAAATTAAAACAATTCTGTACCCACTGCCATCAAGTAGATGCCGACCCATAGCGACCCTACAGGACAGAGCAGAACTGCCCCACAGGGTTTCCAAGGAGCAGCTGGTAGATTTGAACTGCTGACCTTTTGGTTAGCAGCTGTATTACTTAACCACTGTGCCGCCAGGGCTCCAAAAACAAGTATGACCTTGAGTATATATATCCCATCTGAATTTGGAGACCATCTCAAGAACAGATTCGACACAATGAACATTAATGACCGAATACCAGGAGTTGTAGGAGGACATCAAGGACATCATACATAAAGAAAGCAAAAGGTCATCAAAAAGACAGGAAAGAAAGGACTCAAACGGATGTCATAAGAGACTCTGAAACTTGAAGCTAAAGCAAATGGAAGAAATGATGAATTAAAAGAGCTGAACAGAAGATTTCAAAGCGCAGCTTGAGAAGACAAAATATTACAATGAAACGTGCAAAGATCTGGAGTTAGAAAACCAAAAGGGAAGAATATGCTCAGCATTTCTCAAGCTGAAAGAACTGAAGAAAAAATTCAAGCCTCGAGTTGCAATTCTGAAGGATTCTATGGGCAAAATAGTGAGTGACACAGGAAGCATCAAAAGAAGATGGAAGGAATATACAGTCTCACTGTACCAAGAAGAACTGGTCGACGTTCAACTATTTCAGGAGGTAGAATATGATCAAGAACCAATAGTACTGAAGGAAGAAGTCCACATTGCACTGAAGGCACTGCAAAAAAACAAGGCTCCAGGAAATGACAGAATACCAATTGAGATGTTTCAACAAACAGATACAACACTAGAAGCACTCACTCATCTACATCAACAAATTTGGAAGACAGCTACCTGGGCAACTGACCGGAAGAGATCCATGTCTGTGCCCTGTCTTAGTTATCTAGTGCTACTATAGCAGAAATACCACAAATGGATGGCTTTAACTAACAGAAATTTATTCTCTCACAGTCTAGGAGGCTAGAACTCCAAATTATGGGTACCAGCTCTCTGTCAGCTCTGGAGAAAGGCCCTTGTTATCAGTCTTCCCTTGGTCTAGGAGCTTCTCAGCGCAGGGACCTTGGATCCAAAAAACACAATCCACTCCTGGCTCTGCTTTCTTGGTGGTAGGAGGTCCCTCTCTTCTCTGCACAATTCTTTTATATCTCAAAAGACAGTGATTCAAGATACAACCTAACCTTTAGACTGAATCCTGCCATGTTAATATAACTGCCCCTAATCCTGCCTCATTGACATCACAGAGGTAAGACTTACAACACAAAGGAAAATCACCTCAGATCACAAAATGGTGGACAACCACACAATAATGGGAATCATAGACTAGTCATGTTGACACGTTTTGAGGGGACACATTTCAATCCATAACATGCCCATTCCAAAGAAAACTGATCCAACAGAATGTGGAAATTATTGAACAATATCATTAATATCACACATAAGTAAAATTTTGATGAAGATAATTAAAAAAAAATGGTGGCAGCAGTGCATTGACGGGAACTGCCAGAAATTCAAGCCGGATTCAGAAGAGGACATGGGACAAAGGATAGCACTGCTGATGTCAGGTGGAGCTTGGCTGAAAGCAGAGAATATCAGAAAGATGTTTACCTGTGTTTGATCGACTATGCAAAGGCATTTGACTGTGTGGATCATAAAAAATTATGGATAACATCGCGAAGAATGAGAATTCTACAACATTTTTAATTGTGCTCATGAGGAACCTGTACATAGACCAAGAGGCAGCTTTTCGAACAGAACAAGGGGATATTGCGTGGTTTAAAATCAGGAAAGATGTGTGTCAGGGTTATATCTTTTCACCATACTTATTCAATCTTACACTGAGGAAATACTCCGAGAAGCTGGACTATATGAAGAAGAACGTGGCATCGGGATTGGAGGAAGACTCATTACCAGTCTGCGTTATGCAGACGACACAACCCTCCTTGCTGAAAGTGAAGAGGACTTGAAGCACTTATTGATGATGATCAAAGACCATAGCCTTCAGAATGGACTACACCTTAACATAAAGAAAACAAAAATCCTCACAAGTGGACCAATAAGCAACATCATGATAAACAGAGAAAAGAATGAAGTTGTCAAGGATTTCATTTTACTTGGATCCACAATCAACACCCAAGGAAGCAGCAGTCAGGAAATCAAAAGACACACTGCATTGGGCTAATCTGCTGCAAAAGACCTCTTTCCAAGGGTTAAAAAACAAAGATGTCACATTGATTTCTAAGGTGCACCTGCTGTAGGCCATGGTATTTTCAATCGCCTCATACGCACGCAAAAGCTGGGCAACGAATAAGGCAGACTGAAGAAGTGATACATTTGAACTATGGTTTTGGTGAAGAATACCGAATATACCACAGACTGCTAGAAGAACAAACAAGTGTGTCTTAGAAAAAGTACAGCCAGTGCTTTCTGGATGCAAGACTTCATCTCACGTACTTTGGACACGTTATCAGGAGGTACCAGTCCCTGGAGAAGGACATCATGCTTCGTAAAGCAGAGGATTCTGCGAAAAAGAGGAAGACCCTTGACGAGATGGACTGACACAGTGGCTGCAACAATAGGCTCAAACATAGCAATGACTGTGAGGTTGGCGCAGGACCGGGCAGTGTTTCCTCCCATTGTACATAGGGTTGCTATGGGTTGGAACTGACTGGACGGCACTTAAAACAACGTAAGGGTCTCTAATTAAGGGTCTCTAAAAAAATTCAAGAAAATATAACTTGGAATGGATATCCTCTTAAGATACTGAAGTATAAACACATCAGATTACAGTTTAATTCTATGGTGAAGAGATAAATTCAATTAAGAAGCAATTTATCACTAAAAGTAACGAAGAATAAAATAATTAGGATTAAAGGAGTAAGTTAAACTAGAAATCAATTTTTTTTAAAGTGCATTAAACAGTTCAAAAAAAGACCGGTAATAAGTCGAGAGAAACAATTTAGGGCTAAGCGAAGAGTCTGCAGGAAGAGGCTTTAAGCATACTGAAAAGTAAATCAGAACGTAAGAAAACTCGCAGAAATGTAAAAAATACCTAGCCTATAAAATTTCAAGTTCTCAAGAAATATGTTTTTAGGATTAAGACTTAAGGAAAGACACCATGATGCCAATTTATCAAATTCCGGAAAGACCGAAAAAAAAAAAAAAAAACTACTTTAAGGACCTGAGAGTAAGATGCTATTCAGATACAACTAAGGTCAACTTCATTTTTTTAACACAGACATTAAGACAAAACAGATTATCTAGAATATTACAGAATTATTAAAGAAATTAATTCTTACCAGATAGTCTGATTCTTTGAAAACCAAAGGGAAACTTTAATAGACCACAAAACTTGTCGGGAATTTGCTACCTAGGAACAACCTCTCGGAGCAGATTACAAGGAATTCCTGAAGTTATGCTAGAAATCCCACTGAAACGGATAATTGTTCCAAAACACCAGCCAAGGTAAGTAAGCTCAATTATATCAAGTATAAAAGGGAAAGATAAGAGATAAACTAAAATTAAAAAAATATTCTTAAAGTGTTTTAGAAAATCAAAATATAAGTAGGTAAGTGCAAGAAAAATTAACCATCACCCTGTCATCTCATAGTAAGGGATGCATGCTATGGTGGAAAGAGTACTAAACACAGTGAGCTGGGTTATGCCCCTGTGGTGGT